TTTTTCAGGGAGTCTTGAATCTTGAATCTTGAATCCATGCCCGATTTAAGTTAAATCGGTTTAAATCGGTTTAAATCGAGGCCTGGATTCAAGATTCCCTGGAAAAGTTTGGCCTGGATTCTTGAATCTTGAATCTTGAATCCATGCCTGATTTAAACTTAAATCGGTTTAAATCGAGACCCAAATTCAACATTGCACTTTGCGCGGCTGTACTTTGGCACAGCGTTGTGCATTGTTTGAAATTCAATCACTTTCAGAACTAGAGTTAAATTCTTAGATGGTCTAGTCCTAGCTTGGTCCTAGTGCTAGTTGGGAGATCCTTGGTTCTAGACCTAGTATGGTCCTAGCTTACTGAAATAAATAGAACGTACAAAGGACAATGCAAAGGAAGTTCCTTATGAATTGTAGTTAATATATTAATCAAGTTCTATGCAACTGCCAACTGAACAGTAGAATAAAGTAAGTAAAGAAAGTATCCAGTCATAATTTATGTTTATTCTGTTTCAAGCCAAATATTAAACATGACTTTCTTTCCACCAGAATGTAATACTTGACATCCAAATACTATGAGAAGTAGAGTTAAATGGTCTAGTCCTAGTTTGGTCCTAGATGAGAGAGATCCTTGGTTCTAGTGCTAGGTTGCTCCCTAGTTTACTGCAATGATTAGAAAGTATACAGGACATTACAGAGGAAGTTATACTAGAAGCTTATTTTTTTGTAAGAATCTGAGGCGGGTCGTCCTAGTTGAGAGATCCTGGGTTCTAGTCTCATTTGGTCCTGGTCCCAGTTGAGAGAGCGTTCCTCCCAGTCCTAGATGGGCAAAACATGCACTGGAGAGGCAACCAAAAGGTAGGTCCCTGCGGGGGGGGTAGCATATATATATATATATATACATGGTGGGTGCATGTTCCCGCGTTTCCACTTGACTTGGGGCCGCAGTCTAAGGGCACGGCCGCGCCGGCTGAAACCACCCGGCGACGTTGCGCAGCTGCCGGATCAACTGGAGCATGGATTTGGGACGCGCAACGTGGGTCTGGGGTTTCGGATGATCGCTTGGTAGCGGTGATGTTTGAAGGGTGTTGTTGGGGGCGCCAGAAAGCACTCTTTTAGGTTAACATGGAACTCAAAAAGCCATCATCATCTTTGGAGGAGTCTCCTGGTGGACCTCTGTTTTGGGTTTCTTGTTGATTTGCAGGGAAGTGCGTGGTGTCCTTCTGCAGAATGTTGGCCCGTGGCAGGAATTCCCAGTCACTCACTATAGGAAGTTGGACTCAGAGAAGAACCCTCCCACAAAACGTTTTTTCCTCGTCACACATTGGGCTGCTGTGTTTCCAATGAGCCGATGCTTGAGAATGGCTCTGCGATCCAGCGCAAGCTTGTGCTTGCCGCCAGGCCTGAAACCCAAACTGAAATAAGGCACCTTCAAAATAGCGAGCGCCCAAATGGACCGCGTTGCAGTGGTCAGGCTTCGCGGTCAGCACGACGTGAGTCAGAGCCTGAGACCTCGAGACCTGCGGCCGCGCCAACGGCACGTTTAGGTTCTTTGGTTTGTGTTTGCCTTTTTTTTTAAGCGCGAGAGCAGCCCAAGGGATTTTGTGGTTTGGGGGGTTGAAGCCACTTCTTGTGGTCTCACTTTAGTGGACGCATGTGTGTGTAGGAATCCCAGTGTCTTATTCACAGAAAGGGCTTTCTTCCACAACCGTGTTGCTGTTGGGTTGGCCGTTTTGGCCGCGGAACACGAGGATTTCCGATCGCCGCAAGCACACGTGAGATGCTTTTGAGTGAGCCTTGGTACTGGCATGATCCCTGCAAGTCAGCCAAGTCGAAGCACCGAAACCCCGAGGCGTCAAGCGCAGCTTGCTACGGAATGATGGATCCATGACAGCGGACCGGGCTTTCGGACTATGGGTCGGTCTGAGAACACCTACCTCGGGGTTTGTTGAAAGGGTCACAGCCTGGGTCACAGCAGGGAAACTGCATCTCCGGGAACTCCGCCCATTACACAAACCCACATCACATCATGAGTCGTTTATTGCCACTTCGGCTCCATGATGCTGGAAAAGGCGCGTCATGACTCAGGACCCCTAAATTGAAATTGAGAGCATGTCAGTCACCTCATTCAGGTCCTGGCATGCCTTTCACTCCATGATGTTCATGTGTTGTTTAGTCCCTCTGCCTTTCCGAGATAGAACTCTGAAATCTTGCCTGCGTGTAATCACAAGGATACATGCATATATTGTTTTGCATTTACACCCCCTCTTATTCAGTTGCTCAGAGATACACACAATATATTCAAATTCCACCAATCAGACCCAGAACCACAACTTCGTCTTGTTTCGTCTCGCGAGTGTCAGGAGCAGCTCCGGAACTTGGAGAGGGAGATCAACTCCTACAGGCGGGTGCCTGACCAAAGGCGCAGATGAGCAAATTAGTCTGTTCCTTGGATTCTTTTTGGTTACCCCTGACGTTGAATGTTGTTGTTTTCTTCTATCACTTGTAACTAGCATGTGAGAACCACAGGTTTGATGGGGAACCACCTCTCCCTGGCCGACACGGCAATGCAAACAAGAGCACAACGTGTCCCCAGCCAAATGTTGACGACACAGGGTTGGTCTGACGTTAGTGGCCGTCCTTTGGCTTGGTCAAGTACCCCCAGCCTGTACAGGCGTCTCACTTGTTTCTTTCGGGACTGTCAAAAGCTTTTGTTTCCCATTGGATCAGAAAAAAAAAAAAAAAAAAAAAAACAACCAAACTTGCAGCTCCTTGGCTTTGACCCGTTTGCTTTTTCCATCGGTGGCTGTCCAGTGCCCCATCCTCCCCTCGCCCTCCACCCGGCTCTACCCAAGCCGCGGGCCCAGAAGCCGGCCCCGGCGGCTTCCAGTCCTGTGGGCTTGGTAGTTGTTTTGATCACTTCCATTTTGCTTAAGAATATGTGTTTTTTTTGTTTCTTTCCCTGGCTTTAAAGGGAGTCTACCACTACTGGAATTATGGTTCCCAGGGGGGCTTAGGCGAATGGCAGATCAGCTACCCTATGATGCTCTGGCAGAAGCAAGGTGCAACTAATGCAACAATATAGATCTGTATAGATCACATGCGTAGTTGACAGGCTGCAAAGCTGGTTCTATGCACACTGGGCGAAGTTCAAGGGCACGACCAAGCAGGATTGGGTGAACCAACACACGGATGGCGAGAGTCACGTGGGTGTCAAGCAGCCCAGTGGATCGGTGATGCTATTGATGCTGTGCGTGATCCCCTTTCAACAGGATCACTTTACGTAGCTATTGAAGAGTCCATGCACAAACTGTCCCTATAATTTAGAGGTACTTGTTTATTGCGTGCGAGAAGCAACATGAAGTGTGCTACACTTGTAGCCATTTGTAGCCTTTGTTGCACTTATTGGTTCAGCTTGATGACAATGCAGGTATTCTATGTGCCGGAATGCTTAGCATTTGATGGCAGTACATCGTTTTGTCTCTAGAAGACACACCGGTCAAGATTAAAAGGAGTTTTGTTTTTTCCGTCTACCGATACATTATGTGGCTACATGGTTGTCCAAATTCAAAACCAATTGAACGCAGAATTGAGAAGCGTATGCCCAATTCCGCCGATTTGTTTCTGGAGTGACATCTATCGCTTTCTCACTCTCTCTCTCTCTCTCTCTCTCTCTGTCTTTCTCTCTGCCGCAGAACGTTGCAGCACCAGTACATCGTGAAGTGCGCCAAAGGAACCAGTCAATCGAAGGGCAACATGTGGCAAAATCATGCGATTTTGCTTTGCGATTTGCAGGCCTGACTTGGTGATTTGTTGTTGCAACCTTGTGTTTTTGCCCCAGTCACGCAAGTTCAAGACGGGCGTACCTCGAGTAAAGGGGCCCTTCTCCCTACGGTTGCTTTCGTGGGTATAGTGGACACGTGTAGCGAGGTGGTGCATGTGTCCCGGCTATCAGTTTGGTTCTTGTCCCGGGGAAACTTCTGAATCAATAAGCCAAGCTTGCGAAGCCTGGTTCATCCAGAGAGCTGTAGCCCTGGACATTGGACGTGGCCTTCCTTGACAGATTGAAGGATGCGGGGGGGGTTGTGGTAGAGCCACAGCTGCATGTTGCTGTTTGCGGCGGCGTCAAGCAATATGTGCTAAGCACATGTTTTGCACGTGTGTGCGCTTACACATTGTATGAATATTAGGTGTATATATATATATATATAGATATGTGTGTTTAGATACATTGTTGCACTACTGCATTTATAACATAGTGCATACAGCATACATATATGGTTTTAGGCAACACATACGCTACATATATATATATATATGGAGATATACACTGCGCCTGCGATTCACCAGAGGCCTTTTCACATACATCATCCGTTGTTCGGTCTCTTTTTTCTGTGCGCTTGCTGTGACGCCCTGCCCACAGATTAGTGAGAGCCCTGAAGACTAAGTGGAACCCACTCTTGCTGTTGGGTTGCACCCCCAACTGTTAAACAGGCTTGGACAAGACTACTCAAGTTGTTTTGCTGCAATCAGACATACATTGAACTGTTCAATTCGGGGGGTGAGGGTCCTTAGTTCCATGCCCTGCGCTGCCCATTCCCATGAAGCTTCTCATGTGCCGGTTGGTTCCCTCATGTCCAGATGACAAACACGCACAGGTTTGTGATCTTTTGTATTTTTGAGCGCTGGGCAAACCAAGTAAGTGTCCATGTTATCAGAACATGGTACCCTGGAGACTGATAGGACCTGGTATGCGTATCCATGGAGGAAATACTGCTTTGAATACATGGTAGGTCTAGATTCTCAATGACACCACCTAACAGGAGTGGTCCGATTTTTGATGCAGAACCTAAGTCCCGACTTTTGATGCAGAACCTTCAAGGTCAAACGGTAAACCAAAGGACACAGTATAAAATGCTATCAGCTTCCACCCGGCAGCCCAGCCCCAATCCTCCGCTACAGGGGGCCCTATGTTTGGCGACGTTGGCAAGGGGTGCTTCTGGGACATCCAGTGGTCAACTTGAGTCTGCAATGCGTTGATGAATGCCTTGATGCTATTGGGAGCCCTGGGCAGAGCACAGATTTCCACTGATATGATCAGTGTGCGCATTGTCCTCACCCTTGGACAGCAAACGCACTACCCATTCTCTTCACGAGCCAACACAGACCGGAATTGTTCAAAAGCCCACGTGATTTTGGTGTGTGATCTGTGCTTTTGTTTCTTGCGTTTTCCGTGTTCTGGTTTGCAGGTCTGCGAGAAAACCTTGCCAGTCTTCATGTCAATTGAGAGGTGACGAGACTGTCTTTGAGGTGAAAATAATTGTAAACGCTTCGCGTTGCCCGCCTCGGCCCAGCCTAGTTTGAGGGAAGGGTCAGGAACACCGAAATCCAGTGTTGGGAAGGTCCGAATCCTACTGAAAGCTTGTGACCGCACCAGTTCGCCCGTGCTAGTTCGATGTTCGGAAGCCGTCCTGCTCGGAAGGTTTGAAATCCAAAACCAAGACTATCTCAGCTGCTCAGTGCCCTTGGAAAAAAAAGGACCTCTTTCTGGGGATGAGCATTTTTAGTGGGGCTTGGCCTCCATAAAAAGGGGAACAATAATTGGTGTCACTGAACAACCAAGACCAACTTTGGGTGTTTGGGCACCTCCATTTCACGTGGCTGGCGGCTTGCCATGACATACATTTCTTGCTCGGTTGCTCAGCCCAAGACAGGTACATGGTGGGAATACAAACCTCCATTTGCTTAAGTACCCCGGAAAAACATCCCCAATAGACACGCCAGCAGGCGGGCTGAGGGACTGGGCCTGAGGCACGTTAGACAAACCTGACCTTGGCACGCTGGGCTGGTGGGCTGGGAGCTGGGGGCCGGCCTAGTGGCTGGCATGCCCTCAGATGGCGCCGGGGCCTCGGCTGGGTAGGCTGGGCTGAGGTGGGTTGCTGGTTGGGCTGGGCCTGAAGCTAGTTGCTGGCTGGGCTGGGCCTGAGGCCAGTCGCAGACACGTAAGACACGCCAGCAGGCGGGCTGGGGGACTGGGCCTCTCAGGCTGGCATACTTTGAGACCAGTCTCAGACTGCGCCAAAGGGGCTCGGGCTGCTGGATGGAGGGGCTTGGGCACGTCAGACAGGCTTAGTAGCTGGCGTAGCCTGAGACCCGTCTCAGACACGTGAGACTGGTCGTTGGCCTGAGGCCAGTCTCAGACACGTTAGGCAAACCGACCTTGGCACGCTGGGCTGAGCCTGCTGATTGGCTGGGAGCTGGGGGCCGGGCTTGCTGGATGACTTGGGTTGGGCTAGGCCTGTTTCAGACAAGCTTGGGCCTGAGGCTGCCAGCAGGCGGGTTGCTGGTTGGGCTGGGCCTGAGCCTAGTCTCAGACACGTCAGACAGGCCTGGTCAGCAAGGTCATGCTTTTCAGGACAAAAATGCATTTTGCAATTATCAGCGCATTTTCGACAAAAATGGACCCATGGAGCTGGACGCCGACGAACCCCGAAAATTTCAAGGCCCGCCGGACAGGATTTTGGGCCAGCCGACATGGGTGGGGGGGTGGGGGGGGGGCCGGCCCGCCAAAATTTTGGTTGGGGAGGGGGTTGGGGGAGGGGAAAAGCGAAGATTCTCTTTGGAGAAGAGATCTGAGCGCCCTTGGCCCCTTTGGGGCCGAGGCGAATTGCAAGGCTTGCCAGTGGGCATGCCAACGGTTCCCCCTGAATTGTGGATCTGTCTTTTCTGCGAGTACCTTTTTCAAGCGTCGTTTTGCAGGCAAAACCAAAGGAACAGCACCATTTGTGTGAATTTCATCCGCCATTTTGAGGCAAACCCATGCTCTGGAATTGTATCAGAGTCATAGCTATGCATGTATCCAAATTGCGCAAGGGATTTGCAGGTCAGGAGTTCTTTGGACCTGAAAAAAAGGCGACCAACGCTTCTTTTTCCGGCCAATGTGAACCCATCCCTTTGTGTTGGGTCGTTCGAGAGGTACATCGGCTGCATTCTGGAGCACCCCAATCTGGCCATCGTCACTGAGTGCCACGGCTGTGCGGGTTGTGTTTGTTTGACGAAGAGACGGGTGGGCTTAATCGGAGAACGCAACACATGTTTCTGATATCAAGATTGATTGCTATTAGTTTTAGTAAGTTTATAGTATGCATTGTGTCGGGCAATATGCGCGATTTGGGCAAGTCATACGCAGTTTATAGTATGCATTGTGTCGGGCAATATGCGCGATTTGGGCAGGTCATACGCAATGGATTTTCGTGAACCTCATCCATGACGTAGGTTTCCTTTGTGTTGGTGTCATTAGATTTTTTATGTTGGATCGGTTAATCATTATAACTCCCCACAAAAAGGCTGTGGCTCAAAAAACCGGTACCAAAAACGGAACCCTGGTAAGTGGAAACATGGACCAAAGCCCGCGTAACCCCTCCTGTTGAATTTTGAGCCACAGCCATATGGTTCATTCGAGAATGAAAGGACATGTTTCATGGTACCGGATATGCATTTGTTTGGGGCATGAATGAATATATGTCCCAAAAGGTGTGGTCTGTGGAGCATACGCCTTTTTGTGGTACCAAATTGGACCATCCCGGTTGGCCAGCTTTGCCACTTGGGACAATGGTCGCCTAGCACTCATGTCCCAAAACTTTGAGAGATGCGAATGGGGTTCATTGAGCAATGATGGAATCGTGGCTATCTATGTCTCAACACGAGAAAATGCGGTTTGCGTGCGATATGTTTTATATCTTGTAGGTACCTATATAGGAAAGCTCTGCGGCTAGCTTAGTCAGGATAATCCTGGTTGAAGTTGAACAGGCTAGATGTGGTTCATCGGGAATCCGTCAAGGCATAACTTGGCTCTTTACCTGGTTTGTGTGCCGTTGCTGCGGTTTGACACCACCCCACAATTGATTCCCAGTTGTGAAGTGCCCATGAATTACAAAGGCCATTTAAGGCCAATCAAAAGTTATTGGGTGCCTCCCATTTGTTCTGCTGGGCTTGAAGGGAAACCAACGGCAAACGGGAACGACTTGTTTCCTATGGAGCCGGGTTTGCCCAGGGATCGAAAGGCAACAACGGTCATGAATTCAGAGCCAGTGCCAAGCGTTGCCTGTGCTTCTATTGTCTTTGCTTCTGACACTCTTCCTTTGCTTCCCCCTCCCCAAACCATCATGCTTGCACAACCTATATGCCAGGACAGTGAATCGGAATGGTTGCGGAATCCTTTCTGAGGGCGGCATAAAGCCATTGTAAAGATGCATGCGCATATCGATTTTTGCTTCGAACCAAGCTGGGTGCTAAATAGCACCGAATTTCTATCTTCCCCAACGCCAAGAGGGGATGGATAACCCTTCAATTTGCCGAGACCTATTTGAATCTTAAGCGACTGCTTTTCATGCCAGCTTCCACGGCCGATCGGGATGGCCGGCGAGGTATCTTCCCAACGGCAACTTGTTCGACCTCCTGCGCCCCGACCGATTCATAGACGAAGCTGGTTTCGAAATAGAGATATGGAAATGTGGACCCCCACAACTGGTGGCTTTCCTTTTGGTTTCTCTTCAAACCAATCTGAAATGGGTATAATTACCACACCCATATAAGCAACATTGGCTTTTTTTGTTTCCCGCTGGTCGCCGGAGTGTGAACAATACAAGGATTCCGGGCTGCTTTCTCACACAGGCGTGGGCAACTATTGACTATGGCCGGGGGCGTGTGAAGACTAGAGCGCCCCCTGCCCCCTGAAGAAAAGAAAAACAAGAAAGATGGCTGGAGGGAAACACCCAAGGGTCCCCCCTCATTTCAAGCACCAGGTAGAGTGTTGTTTTAGAGTGTTTTAACCCATTGTTTTCGTAGCCTCATGCCACTAGGAAAGGCGAATTTATGTTCAGTGCTCATTTGTCCTGGGGCTTTTCGGATTGCCATAGGTATGCTCAAGTTGCTAAGGTTCTGCGTTGCGTTGATTGCCACGCAAGGATGCCACAAGGCCAGGCCAGTCTATCGTTTATTAATCAGGCCTTGAGGAGTGCGTTGTTTGATACGTAGGTTGCCAGCCTTTGTCCGCATTTTCAACCAGGGCTTCCTTGAAAAGCATATGAGCAGCTCTACAAACTTCCTTTACATCCCAAGGAAATAATTGTGTCATGACAAGGCCCCGCGTAAGCAAAACCCTGCACGGCGCAAGCCGGCGTAAGCACTTTTTGGGGAAGCATGCTGCGTAGCACCCGTGTAATCGTGATTGCTTGGCCAGCTTTGCAAGCATGCTCGGAAGAGTTGTTTCAACACATGTGCTTATGTGTTTATTGGTGGCTTGTGCTGCTTCAACTTGCCCGGAGACTGTGGCTGCAGGAAGGCGCATCGAACACCGCCTGCGCACACCGTTAGAGAACAGAACCAGGAGCACTTTGATGGCTTATGTTGAAACCTTTCCTAGGACAAAGAAAGGCTTCTGAAGCCGCGGATTTAGGAACTAAAGGGGCTCGGGCGTGGTTCGTGTAAGCTTGCCTAGTATAGTTGTTTGTTAGCCCTCGTCATGGATGCCGCCGCCACATAAGCCGTTTCTTAACCTGCAATAAGAACAACAACACCAAGCCGGCTGAAACTCGTGAGGGCAGTTCTTCGTCATCCTCTTCCTCAAACTCAGCCACGTCATCTTGAACAGCTCTGGCGCCGGCATGGGAAAAGGAGACGTAAGCAGTTCTTGAGGGGAAGCGCTCAAAGCGCCGACGCGTAAGCGACGCGTAAGCTTAACATGCTCGCTGACTGCCGCACAAGCCAAAACATGGGTCGCGTAAGGAAAGCGCAAGCTCACGCGTAGGCAGCCTGATGCGACATAGGGTTGCATGGGCGGTGTACAGAGTCGCTGAGATGAACAGCTCACGGGCAGAAAGCTTGCGCAAGCATTGCCACGACATCGCCGTATCAACATATATCTCTTTATCTACGCGATTCCAAGCACGGATCCACTGGTTGCGGATTGTGATTGCATGTGGTGTTGTTGTTGTTTTTTTCTCCAGTGGCTATGCTTGAAGATGGAGTACTAGGCATCTTCTACCTGGCATCTTCATGGATTTTATGGCAAGGTAGATGCCTGAGTGTTTCTGCTGATGGCCTTTGACCTTTTGATAACAACCATAGCCATCCATCTGAGGGGTCCCCAATTGGAGACACACCCAGACAACAACATGTGCTTGCCTTGAAATACTCCGTTGAACTCTAGTTCGCCCCCTGAATCAAGCTGAAACGCCACACCAACTCAAAGCACAGTATCCAGCCAGTTCTCTTCTGCCCAGTCAATCCACCATTATCATGATTTCCCAGGAACGCCACGGGTTCTCGCTGAGGTACATGCAAAAAGTCAACCTCAAGGCAGCCCTGAGGCGGGAGATTTCAATAGAGCTCGACGTGTTTTGGCCTTTTGTGTTTCAAGGTCTCGCCCCATTTGGCAACACGCCGACCCAGATCTTTCCAGCGGTTGGTACTGTTGGCCCCGAAACTCAGTTCTTTGACGCATATCGTTCCCTGTTGAGAGGCAAGACTGCTCTAAAGTGACATTCCTGCAAACCTGCCTGTGAAACTAACTAAAGCGGCTCGTGTTCCGCAGGTAGCAGGGCAGTGTTGGAGCTGAGAAAGAAAACGACTGACATTTCCAGCGACACCCGCAGAAGGGCCTGTGATCAAGAAGCACGGGACCCTGCAAGCGCCAGTTTGCGCTCCTAAAGGTTTCCCGGGTCCAACGGCCCATGAGTTTGACGTTGAAGGGTGCCGCTCCCCGATAGAATCCACGCTTTCAAGTTTTCCTGGCATACCTTCCCGACGGCTGAAAACAAGGAGTGACCCGAACATGGAGACGAAGCAAATATCATCAAATATTTGCACGGAGCAATCGGAGTGTTCAGATATGAGATACATGACTGAGCCACAGACTTGTGCGGCTTTGTTTTTTTGTTTAATGAAATCCTGCTTGCTGCTTGTGGCCACGGAATTCTCTGAATCCCCGACTCTGTCCTTGCCGAGTTCGGTCTCAGGCTCGAGCTAGGCCTCTTGGCGGTTGCCTCACCTTTAGCAGCCTACCTTCAATTTGGTACTGCGACCGTTGGCCAACAGGCGCCTGCAAGGCGTTGGGCGCAGAAAGAAACAGCCTACCTTCAAATTGGGCAATGAGGATTTCCAACAGAAGCCAGCCTTTTTGCAGAAGTCAAGCCTTGCCGATAAACCTAGTTCGCACTCAAACACCATCTGGATACACCAGGCATGGGGTGTAAGTTGTTTTTGGCAGCCACCAAACAAGGATTTATCAGGAGCCCCTTCAATGGATCTGCTTGCACCCAGGACATCCATGTATGAAACATCAGACCAACTGTCATGATTTCATCAAAAGAGGGGGTGACTGGTCGCACGTTTGTGGGGTCGAGCGAAGGATGTCCGGCGCGCTGGTGTTCTCTTGTTATGTTTGGGGAGACAGAATTGACACGGCACAGTGTCTATATCGATGTGCATCTGGATTGTTGAGTGTTTGTTTGCAGAGCAGCATTTTATGCAGCAGCAACGGCACGGGGGAGCTGAATTGAGCCCCTTCCAGAACATAACAACTGTGGTTGGGTAAGACGCGAGTTATGAGGGTATCATTCATTATGTCATTGCCGTCCACAGTGCAAAGGCTGGGTCGCCCGCACCAGGTGAAGATATGAAAACATGCGAAAGCCATGAATGCTGACCAGAAATGGTCGATCAGTTGTCAGAATATTGCTTGGACAGTCCCCCCAAAACGGGGGTTTGCCTTTTGCTAGCCACCTCGGGTAATGCTTACTGCTCTCCCTCCCCCTCAAGGCCGTCAAGATCCAGAACATCTAGTTTCTTGGAGTGTTCCAACCTGAATGCCAACTGATGAATCAACCCCCTGTTCTCTGTGGCCTGGACCCTCCCTGATGGCGACATCGCCTCTCGCAGGCTCAAGATCTCCAGCCAGATGTGCAAGGCCATCGCCTACATGCACAGGTCAGCTGCCGAGGTTGGGAGAAGGCGCAAACAAAACCGATTCCCAAAAGGGCCATTTCAGGTGGCTCGGTTGCCACCTGGTTTAACTGGGGAAAGATCTTTTCAAGATCGAACCAGAAGTCAAGGTGTTTCGGGCGCTGCTTGTATGGGGTGGTCGTTTTGTTCGGGCCTTTTGCACGAAAACAAAACGGAAACCACCATTTTCGGGGTTCCTCTATTTAGGGACAAACCTATGTGACTCATAGGTTAAATGAGGTTGAATTGCAATCTTCTGGTTGGAACCTTATATTTGCCCGTTGCTCGTGGCGTGTCCAAATAGGGTCCTCCAGGTTTCCTTGGAAGCGCAATTATTTGGGTGGGCTTCCTAGACAAATTATTTCCGTTAAGAAGGTGTGCTTTTTCCCATGGCTCCTGGGCAAGTAAGGGACGTAATGTTCCCGGTTAGTAGCCTATTCTTACGTCTATCTCCAGACTGGGGAAAGGTTTCAACCTTTGCCTGGCCCTGACCATATGGCAACGTGAAGCTATCCAACGATTGTGGGAGAGGTAGGTTGACTTCTGCGCATTCAATCAAGCATGTTCAGGACTCCTTAAAGGAGACATGCTTGCCCATTTGAAACATGTTGCTTGTTCCACCAGAAGTCAGGGAAACCGCCATAAGGCAATGTTCAGGTGTATAGTGTAAGGATCCCTGTTGGGCCCAAAGCGGGTGCGGGCCTCGCTTTCTCTGAGTTTGCAGCCGATGCTGATCCACCGGGACCTGAAGACCCAGAATCTGGTGCGAATGGCTTCGGGGTCGCCGAATCTCGGGGAGCTGAAACTGTTGCTTCACCTTGCCGGAAAGTTATGAAGTTCGGTTTTGCTTCGTTATTTGTCGATGATGTATGCATGATGTGTTTGTGTTGTGTTTGTGTGTTTGTTTGTTTGATTGCTTGATTGCTTGATTGTTTGCTTGCTTGCTTGTTTGATTGGTTGTTTGTTTGTTTGTTTGCTTGTTTGTTTGTTTGTTTTACCTGTTTGCCTGTTTGTTTGTTTGATTGTTTGTTTGTTTGTTTGATTGTTTGTTTGTTTGTGTGTTTGCTTATTGATAGGTTGTTGGTTGTTTGGCTGGTTAGTTTGTTGGCTGCCTGATTGGTTGGTTGGTTGGTTGGTTGGTTGGTTGGTTGGTTGGTTGGTTGGTTGGTTGGTTCCTTCTTGCGAGGATCCTGGGAACCCTTCTACATTTCGGAGATGTAATATGGATTTGAAGCGGTTATATAGCTGGGCGGAGTTTATGAACCATGACACCATGCGCATTGCATCGGGATGGTGGAGATGTGTACACCTGAATCGGGAGATATGAGTACCCTTACAAGGTTACCAATGGTACCAACAACAAGTTGCTGTAGACGAAGTTTTTAGCGTCCTCGCAGGGGGTGCAGTTTGCTAAGTTCAAGAGATGGATTGGGAGGCAGGGAAGTTCGAGGGTCAGGCAGCCATGTTTGTTTGCTTGCAGTGATCGCGGTGAGTTGAGAGCTGAAGAGACCACGCGACCAGCGCCGTAGACGGGTCGATTTGAAGCTGCTTGTTCTGGCTCTGGCAGACAAGCGATGCTTACAAAGACGACTCTTCTCCCCACACGCACACAAAAGCTAAAGCACCCATATGGCGCCCGACCAGGACCCCCTTTTTGCAAACAGATGAGCCAGATGAGCCAACCAGCCCGGATACAGTGAGGTTACCCAGCCAAAGCTTGCAATGCACACTCCCCGGACAGCTGTCTCCCAGCCACAGACCCCTTACGCCGGGATACGCCTGGCATCGCTTCATCCCCCGAATGATGCTGCGATGCGCACATCGGCCCGGGCCCCGCTGAAGATGAGGGATCTTCCCTGGCGTCATTTGAGGGAGCGAAAAGCGGCTACACAAAAACATGTCGCAAACGATGTCACGCGTGCAAGCGTCAGTCTGTACTGCCCGCTCAGGGGCCGTACACTTTAAGCTACTTGACCTCCTGAGCAAGTGACAATACATCAAGATTAGTTTTTTTCATTGTCAGTGTGCAGAATGCACGGACCGAAACACTCAAAGGAGCACACCCAACTTGCCTACGTCCTGTTTTGGAATATCGATTGCGCTGTCGGGGCCGATTTGTTTTCCTAAGTTAAAGTATTATTCGGCACGGTTCAAAGTTGGCTAGGTTGCGAGAGGATTTGTTGCATCCTCACTTGAATCTGGAGTGCCTTGGGTTTTGCTCTTTGATTGGGACCCTGTTGACAGTAGCCTGCAGCATGTACTCCTTTGGTAAATCAACGGCGTTCTGACGCATCGGGAAATCCATGCCTCGACCGTATACGTTTGCAAATAGCAGGATGCCTCCCACAGGTTGAAATGTGTGAGTCTCAGCGTCTTGATGTTTGTTCTTTACGCCTGCTGTCTTTTGCTGCGATGTTCTGGAAGGCATTTGCTGCTGTTTCCACAACATCCACAAATCTTGCAGATTCATGCGGCCCGAGGCGTACAAATGTCGGCAGGGGCCCGAGTTGAAAGATGGATACGGAACACCAGATTGCGATGAAGACCGTTGCAAATGAGCAACGAAGCTGACTGGGAAGGTCGAGTACACTTCCTTTTTGGCAAGTCAAGATCTTTTTGGGACGTCAAGCATCGGGCAAATGATAGCAACAACAAGGATTATGCTTCAGGATATTCATTCACCCAAAAGGCCTTTCAATGATGCAGCTGCAGTCTACGGGGCTTGTGCAGGCTTCGTTGAAAGTTGCATTTGGGCTCGTCTCGTCACTGAAACTCAGATAGACAGGGTCTGGCGAGTGTTGGTGGGGAGTTGTCATTGTGGCAGGAGTGGGTGACTGCAACTGGATTGTGCTATCGTTCAGCACCCGCCTTCGCGAGCTAAGCCCGGGGATTCGCAAGGTTCGGGCAATGTCCATTTTCTTTCAGCATGTGCATCTGTAGAACAAATGTGCTACCATGTGCTACCGTGTACAAAGGTGAGTTAAGGATCCACCACTTGGAGGCCACCATCCGGCAAGTATCGACCCAATAATTCACTGAATTTCTGCAACAATGAGGGGCGTGCAAATAAAACCGTGCCGGCTTAGTGCCGGAGCCCTGTAGCTTCTTGGTTTCATCAGTCGCTTGCGTCTTCTATTCAATTCCGCGTAGTTTGACATGGAGCAAGCATCGGGCTGGAGTGAACTTATCATCTCTTTGACCCTAGTACACCAAAAGTTGTACGGCTTGAGTTTGAGTTTGAGGGCCTCAAATGTTTTCTGATCCGAGAGTTCGGCGAGCAACCTAGATGTTTGGGCTGTCACAAATTTCTTGGCTGTCGGGCCAGAAAGGCTCACAACAGGGTTTTTGAATGTGATCTGCATCTAATGTTGGGATTTAGCCTGGGCTCGCTTCGTTTGGTTTTGCATGAAATGCTGTGCCTGGATGGGACAGTGTTTGTTCAGGTCGGTAGCCGGCGCTCATGCTCGCTGATGGCTGAGCATGCTCGGGAGTGTTGGCATGTGTTATTTCAAGGGAACCCTTGTTCGCCTTGGTTGCAAGAGAAAGCAATGGGACAACCACCATTTTGGGGTCCCCTATTGTAGCACACACACACAGACGTGTAGCCGTGTAGCAACCTTGGGCCATATATCTCATGTGAATGGCCAGAGCAGAGTGACCTGGCTACAGAATTGGAAATTCACACCCAGGCAGCATGTTTCAGTGCCCTCAGGCAAGTTTCACCCCGCAAACAGCCCAACAACGGGTGCCTCCCCGCTTCCGCCGCTTCTTGGCGGATGCTATAACTTGTTGCTGGGAGATCATGTGAATCAGCATTCGTGCGCGGGATTGATGGCAAAGGTGGACTCCTGAAACAGCCAGTGCCATGCTTGGTGTTTTAATGTGCGAACATGCTGTGGCTCAAGCCAAGAGCCAAAGACAAACAAGACCACTTCAGCTGTGTCACTGCTTGGCTTTGGACAAAGGCTACCACTTGAGTGTGCAAGAGCAGCACCAAGTTCTACTGATGAACACGGAACCCCAAAATACATGATACTGCGGGGAATCGTCTTTTCGGGGACCCTCTTTTGGTGCTTGCATATCAATTTGTGGGCGAGCAAATGGGGAAGCCAACGTACTGGAAGAGCTCTGCAGGGTGGCAACTGTGGAAGGCTTTGAAACCTGAAACCAGGCAGCGGCATAGCGCAAGGCTTGGAAGCATCTATATGAGGTTCGGACTCATCCACCCCCTCAGATGAATTCGAGTCGGATCTCCTCCTAGTGAAGCATTAAACATTAATTCTCCAGTTATCATATGGCGGAAGCAGTGTCTGGTTCAACTGCATCAGGTCATGGATGCAAACAATGCTGGCCAGCCATGAACAACCCATTGCCTGCTGGAATCGTTCCATCACTTTTGGACACAGACAAGTAGAAAGCGGGCTCGCCCATGATGAAGGTCACCTACTTGGGGATTTCTCATTTGCAGCTTGTGAACTATTTATAGTGTACTCCCAGATCACTTGTCTACAAGTTGTGCCTGAGGCCCAAAGACGGCAGCATTGGATGAGCTACGCAGGCAGTGCTTCCGTGTCCAGCTCATACTGGGAAAAGGATTTGCCAGGTTGTGACTAACAGCCGCGCTTTTGGGGAATACCTCGGTCTTGTTGCGTGCCGCCTTCAAGCTGTTTGCCAAACATTTGCAGATTATTTTGTCAATCTGGCATTTTGCTTGCTGGCTGTTCTCAGCCGCGTGCTTTTTGGGGTTACTCAGTATTCCTGTATGTGTTCGTCAGCGAGGCTTCTGTCTATAACTTTATATCATGATTGGTGCACCCTCAAATCGGCAGAAAATGACCAAGCACTGATCGAGTTTCATGTTTTGTTGCATGGGCAAGTCCTCTTACAACCTCACCTGGCACAGAGGGTCTGTGGCAAACCAGACCCGTATGGGCCCGGAGCGAACGAGTTCAGCTGAGGCCCCAAATGCCTTCCACACCAATCCAAGCCACAATCTTTCCCAGTTTGCTGATTGCACTCAATCATTAAACCAGGATGAGCGGGGGGATTTCTCCCAATCAAGGAACCCTTTCCCTACATAGAGCGCGCGACTTCACTCCTGAACCTGAAGCTGTCTTGGCTATGAGACCCGATGGTTCAAGGATGTTCAAGGCTTATGTTGGTGCACATTTGGCCACATCAACATCACCCCTTGCTTGGTCGAACAGACCAACACGGTAGAGGCGCCCTCTGGGTTCCCTCTTTGTCAGGTTAAAGTGATATATGCCTTTTTGACTGATGTTGAAAGACCAAAACAGCAACCCCTCGCAGCTCGCAGGACACTCCGAGTCGCAGACTCGAAGGCATGCACGACCATCTTCAGCGTCGGGTGCCCGAGTGTCGCTTTCCAATTTGTTCCACCTTTCTGTTTTCTTCCGGCCTTCCATGATCCGTGTGATTCAGCACACAAAGTAAGTAATCCCAAAATCAGCCCTGTTTCCTTATGCCAGATGCTTGTGGGTTTCAACCTTGTAGTGGCGTTCCGCTGATTGCGGAAAACCCGTCATCTTGAGCAACGCGGCTTACGTGTGCCTATTTTAGCAGCTTGAACACCACAAGCCTGTTGGCTTGCACCCCTTGGAATGCCCCAACGAAGGTTTGGTTCCGTCGTTTTTGGGAGAACCCCTGGTTGCCAAGGCCCAACAAAATCTCCAAACTGGTTCTTGCTTCCCCTTGGTCTCTTCATCAGCTACAAAACGTAAGGGCACCAGTAGTTTCTTGCCTTGCCTTACTCTCACAAGACTCCCCCCCCAAAAAAAATAATGGCATCCAGATTGTTCACTTCAAGGGACCACTAAGTCGTTGATTCCTTGATTGGATGCTCTGGTCAAAGCGCATTTTGCACCACTTTCACAAATCTTGTAATGAGCTGAATTGCAGCACCCAATGGTTCTACTACCTGGGTTGTAGTAAGACGCCAGGCCTATAGACACCTTGGACCCCCCGCACGAAGTTCATGAGTTGACCACCCCAAGTTCCATTATTTTTGGACGGGCCGAGGGCGGGGGGTCTTTAAGGCTCCCAAGACGCGATTAGGAGAGTGTGCTTGTCAGAAACTTTGTCCATCCGCTCGGCATGCTGGTCCCTTACAGTACCGGAGGACCCCCCGAAGAATTTATGGCTGCGAACTAGCAGACAAAAGGACACACAGAATAGCAAACAAATGAAACTAATGGCAAACAAACGCGAAACACCGGTGCATAAATTACTTGGGGAGTGAAGGTACAAAGAGGCTCAGAACTGAACAGATGGTTTTTCGAGTAGCTTTGCCAGAACAGGCGATTTTGTCGAAGAGGGAGTCCCTTTACGGGGGCAAACTAGTAAAACACATATATGTTTGTTTGTCAAAGCCATGACTGCAAGTACAAAATCCCTTCAGTAGCCCATGCTGTTTGTAACTAAGCGCATTGCTTCTCCCAATTAGGTCTTCTTCTTTTTTCCCGTGTTTGCACAATGCACCTGCTGAAAGACTTGCCCAGACAGAGCCTTCATTCTGGCAAATAAGAGGTTTGTGTTTGACTAATTTGCGCAGGTGGCACGAACAACAAGCGGTGCACGTTTGTGTTTCTGGTTCAAGTTTTATCCAGTTCCAGAGACGATAAGACCGTAGAGAAACCGTGGACAAACCATAGGCAAACTGTCGGAAAACCCTAGAACGACGGACATTTCTTGGGGTAGAACCTCCATTGTTTATCGTAGAACCTTGTTTTTACGGGGGCCTGGGCGATCCACATCCTCATGCTGCAATGGTTGCTGTGGTCTTACAATGTCTGGGCCGAACTTAACCAGCAAAATGGACAAACGAGGGTGCACTTCATGCGCTAAATGGCCATGTTGAGAAGCCAAGCAGTGCCAAAAGCGGGAAAGCAAAGAAACCAACATTAGCTGGACGAGTTGTGGTCTAAGTATCAAAGCTCTCGCGGCATTGTTCCAGTCCAAAGTCAAAAAGATATCGTGTTTGTCAGTAGCGTTGGGGCTGTCACAGCGTCGATCTTGAACACAGGCTTCGGAAGTGGAGGAAAGAAGAGCGGGCCAACCCTGTGGACCGCAGAGCCAAGACTACCGTCACGGAGACCCACCTGCGGCAGCGTCTTCATGGTGGGACCAATTGGAGTTAAGACCAGACGGGCTCAGACAGGAGAGGTTTCAACGGAAGAAAAAGCAACTCAAAAACAATTTAGCCAAAACACTCAACTGAAAACACAGACTCAAACACAACACAAAGACAACACAGAAAAACACCCGGACGACTCAAACAAATCAGAGAAACAACTCAGCCTTCAACTCAGAAACAACTCAGCCTTGAACTCGATCCCCCCACTTGAGTTTGAGGCTGAGTCGGGAGCTGAATTTGTGTTGGAATTTTCTTCTGAGTTTGTTTGGTTTGTTCTTGGGAGAAAACTGCAGATGTCCTCCCCAACCAACCCCCTCAGAAAAAGACTCAAACAACTCAGAAATAGCTCTGAACAAGCTCAGGAAAAACTCAATACAACTCAGAAATGACTCAGACAAAAAGCAGCTCCCGACGCAGCCTCAAACTCAGGTGGGGGGATCGAGTTCAAGGCTGAGTTGTTTCTGAGTTTGTCCTGATTCTTCCCAGGTTGGGATTTTTCTAGATTGCGTTTTTCGGATTGAGTTGTTTGTGTTTGTTGTTGTTGTGCAAAATCCTGGATTTGCGGCCTGTGTGAAAGAGATCAGGTCTTATGGTTGGAGGCTTAACTCACGTTCTCTTCATAGCCCAGTTTGCCTTAGTGAAACACCCACGCATGGACTCTTCGCGACATGTCGTACGTGGGTCCGTAAAGAAACTTGACACGAGCCCTTTGCCGAACATGCCAAAGCCACGGCTGGCTGTTTGACTGCATTTGGGCGCACCAAGTATACTAACAGCCATAGCAAGGCCTCGTCTTGTTGCAGATGCTTTGAAGCCCTCTGAGAGCCGTTGTCTCAATTTTGTTTTGCATGTGCACATCCTGCAGCACGCAGTACTGATGGGGGTGCGCCTATGCTGGTCATCGTGCAGAGCTTGAAAACCCAAACAACGCTGCTGGCCCCCGCCCCCCCCCCCCCCTCCCCCCGCTCCCCCCCCCCCTCCCTCTCCCTCCCTCCCCCCCCCGTCCCTTTCCCCCCCCCAAAAAAAGAAGGCCCCAAAGGCGCTTCGTTCCTTGAGGCGCTGGGCCGCGAGACCCGGTGGGCCGACGCCTGCTCCTTGCTGCGCCAGCTGCGCCGGGCACCCGGCCTCATGTGACGAGCCACGGGGGGGAAAAGGACACGTCTCTGATCTGCGCCTCTGAAGTTACTTGCTAGGGAATGAGGGAGTGGCTCCTAGAAACCATCCCTTGTGGTTTCCTTTAAGGGGACCCCCAGGTTCATTCCCTCATTCTGTGCTGAGCACCAGCAAGGTTAAAGCGGTTACATGTTAAAGCGCCAGAGCTAAGAGGGGACTAGATAGCTGCTATTGTATGTTCTGTTTTGTCTTTGGCTTTCTCCTTGGTTCGTTTGCTTTCCCTACTAAAAAGGGTTGACACCAATAAGGGTTCCCGTTTGTGACAAGGGTCACTCAGCAACTGTGTCCCTTTGGCGGTTTTGAGGCGCTGACAGAATATACGTTTGGGAGGTTATCTTAAAGTCACCACGAGGAGGGTAATAGATAGCCAGCGTTTTTTGTTGATAGTCCAATGTTCAGTCAACTTGCCAACGCGGGGACATTTCATGCGTTTTCCAGGCCGGCGTTTAACATCCGGGCGTTTCAATCTTAATTAGAAGCCAAGGGGTCCTAGCACCCGTTCTTGCTCGGGGTTAGATACATTGGCGCCCAAATTTTGGGGGGCTTTCTTTCTGGAAGGCAACTGCTGGCTTTATCTTTGTTTCTAGCTCGACCCCCTCCCCAAGCGAAACACGGAAACACACACACACACCCACCGACGCCTGTTGGAGGCTTGGATGCCGTTGGACTGGACACCATTGCGCACAATGCCGTCATCAAGGTCTGCGGATGTTTCGATGTGGTGGACCCCTTTAGTTTGTATTTCAAGGGAAACCAAAAGAAAAGGAACCACGGTACAGTAGGGGACCCCTATTTGAAGAAACACCCAATGGACAGTCAACCCAATTCGGACTCGACAACAACTGCATGGTTTTGTTTGTGAGCAGCTTCTGGGGGACTCAGGAAAGGCAGAAACACGTTTAGACATGGAACTGGTGAAAGTGTAAATCGTTGAACACGCTTACACGCCCTGTTGTTGTATTGTTTGAATCTCCTCAGAGCTGCCGTGAAACATGCTCGGGGAAGTCGAGATGCAAGTGCATGTGTAAACCTGAAGACATGCGCTCCACAGAGCACGTGCAGTGGTGTAACACGTGGAGCCACTGCTCCTGCTGCGTGTGCCGGAATAAACGTGTCCTGAGATTCCTCCTCTTTGTGCCAAGGATAATGTTTAAGGAACCCCGTTCGACCAGTGCTTGAACAACCAAATGTTCAAGCCATGTGTTGCCCTTTGGGCAAAGAGAACGTTTCAACACAGCCAACACATCAACATCATTTTTTTTTTTTTGTGCCAAGTGAATGCTTAAACCAACACCATTCACGATAAAACAAGTCAACCATTAACCTCGAACAAACAACATTCCTGGGACTCCTACCAAAGCAGCCGACACTTCGCTCCAGCTGGAAGGCTTTAAGGCCACGGAAGCCTGAACTAGTCCATAAAGCTTAAACGGGCCTTGGGCGCTATTCGGTTGGATCTTTGAGCTTTTTTTGGTTGGGTGGTAAGTGTTCTTCTGCAAGGACCCAATTTGTTTCTTTGTTCTTTTGCGCCGGGGCAGTGGCCACCAAACGCTTTTCATTGTACGTCACCATGAGCTTGTTTTTTGCGCGAGGCCTGCGAGCGAGGTTCGCAGTGGCCCGAGGTGCGGCGGATCCCGACACAACCTTGTACCCTTGCCGTCAACGCCACAACACATGCCAAGCAATCATTATGAACTGTGGTGAGTGGTGGTGCTGGGCAACAGAGGATTGCTCGCGTTAGTCTGTTTTACTGAGCGGACAAGGAGACCGGGCGAACTTAGGGTGTCAATGCAGGGATTCAGGCTCCTGCCGCTCGTGTGACTGGGAGGCTCTTGCTTGGTCCTTTGGCCTTGGTTCAGAACCCTTGGGAACCGTAGAGAGTTGGCAGGGATTTCACTGCTGCCGACAGGAACACATATCTGCGTTGGAAGCAATGGTGGACAAGCCTGGGACGACAAAATGGGGGGCCTTGCAGGTGGGTTGCCTCCTAATTGTCCGAAACAATGTCCGACTCTCTCGATTCGAACCCCCACCACACTCAAATGACACGCTTTGACACTCCCACAACGCCATGTTCGGGCCATTCCGGGTCGGCCCCAATCAAATGCAGTTGTCGGACTTCGACACGGGTAGCTGTTCGATTTCAACAGGATCCGAACCCCATCAAGCCAAAAAGGGCACTTAGCAAACAAATCAAAGGGTCACTTAGGGCGCCAACACTGCCTTAAGTGGCATTGATTCAAAAACACGTCAAGTGCCCTCGTCTTAAGGAAGCTGAACATGTGCTGGCACATGGAAGTAAGATGCTAATAAATTGCATCCACTCGGAGTTTCAATGGATTTGAACCAAGATTTGGCCCCTCGTTGATCGCCAGACGTGGCCCGGGGATCGATCTCAGAGAACAATGGAGTTTCTCACGACCGGCCCCAGCAGTTCCAATCACTTGGCAAGTGGAATATTTGCCCACTGACAGTGCAATCATTGTCCCCTCGTTGCTGAGGCAACAGGCTCACATTTTCCTATGTCTTTGTGCTTCCCGTCAGTGCCAGCATTCAACACGTGGGGGAACACTCGCAGCCAAACGTTGTAGCGGCCGCTGTGATTCCTGGCTTGGGATGCTTTTGAAACCGGCTTGGTTGCATATTTTGTGCGCAGGGCAACTTTTGGTCAGAATTTGGTCACATTTCTCGTCACAGGGACCTCCTAAATAAAGGTGTAGAAACGCTTATGGCCTTCTTTTGGGGGCTTAAACATACATAATTTTCCAATTTTATAACCCTTAATTGGGTTTGACTCCACATAGGGGAACACACAAATGGACAGTCTTTTTCTGGCTTCCCAAGCAAGGCATGGCCTGACGAATCCGCTAGGCCCTGCGCCTCTTCGGCGAAGTCGGAGCGCCAGATTTGGCCGGGCCTGTGGTACCGCCGTGCGGGAATGGGCAACCCGGCCCCCGAATCAAAAATGAGGTCATGGCCCCGTTCTTTTGAGTCACTCATTTTTTACAGAATCATGGAGACTCTAGGTAGTCTATTGCTATTTCGGAGAGGGCATGGGGATGTCTTTTTGGCTCGGAGAGGGCATAGGGGACACCCCAAGTTGTCCACAAAACCCTGGGGCCACCCGATTTGGCAATGTCCTCTTGGTGAAACAGGTAGGTTTGTGTGGGGCTAATATGAGAATTGAAAAAAGCGGCCCAAGTTTTGGGCCCCTACAAGCAGCGAGGCCGCGTCCGAAGATATTATTCGGGCTTTTGAACCTTTTTGTTGGTTGTCTTTGCTTGGGTGGCAGGACCAAACATGAAAGCTCATACTCTCAAAAGCTCGGCTTTCAGCCAGACGATGCCTTGACCCGCCCTGAAAACTGGAGCCAGCCGGCCTCCCTTTTCGTACAAGGAAGCGAGACATGACGCTTTTCCTCCTTGTCCTTGAGTTTGCCTAATCGCTTCCTGTGAATACTGAATACGTCCCCCTCCCTAATCACTATATTCGTCTGGGGGCCGAACCATATTTATTGATAGGGTACATCTTCATCCGAATGGGCCCCCTTTCCAGTCCCAAAAATCGGTCAAAATGTCATTTCCGAGTAAGTAATTCAAACAGCACAGATCGTAAGTCACTTTTGGATTTTTGCTGGTTTCCAGTCCGTCTACAGTTGGTTTAGTATTGGTCTAGTATTGGTCCCTACATGTTCCAAATATGACTGGACTCGGCGTCAAGTTTGCTGGCTTAGAATTGGTGTAGTATTGGCCAACTCCAATTTAGTGTGGGAAGATCTGGGGTCTGGGAGAATGAGTCATAGGCCTTCACTCATGGGAAGCGATTCGATGGAGGGTGGCCTCCTTTAGGCCTAATGGGCCCATAGATGTTCCCTTCAAGATCCTGATGGTGAAAGCAAAAGCAAAGTTGCCACCAAAAATCTATTTGGGGTATGTTGGAAAGACCAATGGAGAACCGGGTTTGGCGCCGCAGGTGACTTTCAACACCACGATCAGCGCTCTACAGAGAGGCGCTTGGGAGTGGCCAGCGATCACCAAAGCTGGTAGCATGTGAAGATGCCAGGAATCTAGCTTTTGTAAAGGAATTTTGATTGTGTGGGGGCTTTGGAAAAACAACCTGGGAATAAGCCAGCTGGCACTGCGCAATTAGCGATGTCCTTAAATCTCGCATCCTCTTAAAGGATTTGCATGTGGGGTTGCTGGTTGTTGACAATGGTCTATGATAGTGGAGTCACATTGCACTTGCAAGCGAATCAGCTTGCTCCCACCTGTAGAAACTCATTTGTTTTACCGAAGGTGAATTGTGGCAGTGCTCTCTCAAGATGCCCAAGATGAACATGCGTCTTTTCAGTATGGCGCACTTCTGATCACCTTCCCAGGCCAGTTTGCTTCAATACAGTTTCGTTGGACCTCTTATTTTTGTTTGGACAAAATGCGCTTTCCACTGACCAGCAACAATCCTGGACTGCAGTTACCATCCAACATGCTGAATACCGGAAACTACGTAGTACGCGCAGCCTGGTGGACATTCCGTCATTGCCGTTTGCTTTCCCACGGAAATACAAGAGATGACGTGCAGCGGAGACGAAGGTGGATTGAGGTAGCAACACTCCGTCGCAGGTTTGGCCTGTCTGAAAACTTCAGATATCAAACACAAGGGACAGAATGGCTTCGGCTGTTAGATGTTTCGTCCTTGTAATATCATCACATGTAGGAGGGTATCCTTGGCACACTTCCCTGTTCCGGAAATACCCCGGCAACACCTCCAAAATCCACCGGGCACCCAACCACCTGGGGAGCTGATGACTGCTGATCATTTGGCCGACTCATGCCAGGACACGAGTGGCAGCAAGCCTTGCTGCTTGCGGACCAGGCGCGGAAGTCCGGTTTGGCCCTTCTGTGCATTTCCGCACAAAGTGCGCCAGCATCAAAACTGCGGGTAGCGGTCATCCACCCAGGGAACTAAGACAAGCAGGATTCTGAGAAGGGAACAATGGCCTCGGCCCACATCATGAAGTGTTTCCATGGCACATAGAAAATGGTGTCAAGTGAATCGGCATGACTTGCGCTACCTTCATGTGCATAATTGAGCGTGAGGACATTCGTACCACTTCAATTCACAGTGGCCCGATTTGGCGCAGGGAGAGCGGTCCGTTTGCATGAAGTTTGCTTTCAAACAGCGCCAGTCTTGCGAAATTAATTAGCATTCGGGTTCAGGGCTTCTGTCAGTGCTTTTTTGGCCTGGTTGTTGCCCGGAAAACCGGCTTTCTATCAAAGCGACCCTCGAAAGAGTCACAAGATTCTGAATTATGGAAAGACACCTTCTATCAACGCGCCCTTAGATATAAGCGCCCTTAGATACAAGCGCGGGTCTGACATGAATCAAACAACTAGGACCAGGAGGCAACGTACTACTAAGCATTATGATATGGCTGTGGGTCAAAACCAATGGTACCATTTTGGGGTAGGTGCACCACCCCGTGTAGTCTATTTTAGTGGGGATTGGGATGTTCACTGGGGGGTAACCGGGATTTTGAACAGCCCATGGCCATATCGCGGAGAATCGTCAGTGCCCATCGGCTGGCCAGGTCCAAGTCCTTGGCCTGCGTGGGGACAAAGTGACCTGCGCTGCCTCCTTGCAAGCCTGCGAGCGAGGCGAGTGGTCCGTCCGTTCCAGCCGTGCGGTGTTGGAAGGGCGGTTTGTAAAAGACCGCAAGACCTCATGTCAACCTGGGATTTGCCTAGATCATACTGTCTGTGTTCCCTGGCAGGGGATTTACACACACGGGGGGGGGGGGGGTTCATTTGATGGATTGGTGGTTTGTTAGATTTGGAGCTAACATGACAGAGTGATGTTTGAAGGCATGCCGAAATTTTACGCCACGTGCTCTGTGGCCCATCTAGGTCCCTTGTGTGACCACGCGGAAAAAGCCGTCTTCGAAAGCCTCAGGATTTCTGCTGGGGTGCGGATGCGTAGTACAAAGAAATCTTAATAGAGCCAGCAAGATGGCCTCCGGGCATGTCGAGGCTGGTGCATCAGGCAGGCCCTCTTTTGTGAAAGCATGTGAAAGACAAGCTGGAAGCACCGGGATGATTCTTCAAATGACAAATGGGGACCCAGGACAGACACTGGCAGGGCAGAGCAAAACCAAGACGCAAAAGATGACAGAACACAAACATCTTCAGAAAGGACCTTGCCCTTCCGTTGTGCCTTCACTGCAGCTGATGCTGCTGCTTCTGTGGCCACCGCAACAATGCCATCCGGAACTGTTGCAGCGATCGCCCAAGAACCGCTACTGGGGCGCTGCTCTAAAATTTGGGGTTGCAGAATGTAAACTCAATAAACAAGACAGGAGTATGTCTGCAGGGGCATCATGGCTTCAGTTGGATCCATTTTATTTGCAGATGTTGCGGGTGCACCTAGGCCTTCGACATCGCCTTTAGGCCCAACTTTAACGGGTTCTCTCTTAGTGGGCTGATGCAACAGTCGGGCTAGCCAGAGAGCTGATTCACCTGCAAGCGTTTGAGGGGTTACATCATTGCGAACATTCTCTCCTACAAGGCGCCAATGGCTGGCAAATGGGCCCCGACATTGCTACCGGCCGTCACTTGAAGCGCATGATATCCGTTGATTCTCCGTTGCTGCTGGACACTGCTGGACATGAAATCATCCTGGCCGCACTCTACATGGAGCCCCCCTTCAAACCCCTGTTCATGGCACACCACAAGCCCCATTCTATGTCGTTGTGTTGGTACACGGATGGACCAAAGGGTCCAAGTCAACAGCTACAAAAAGGGTCCAACAGCACTGCAACCCAGGTGAACATGTTTGAGCCCCAACAGTCAAATTTCATTTTTAGGATCGGGAACATCCAGCAAGATCCCCCACATATTATACGTTGCCTTTGACCATCCCCCCTTTCAAAAGAAACTTTTGGATGCTGTTTGCCACCCATAAGGGAAAAAACATACTGTTGATGGACGAATCCTGCACTTTGACACCAAGGGAACCCATTGTGTCTTGGTATTTACAGGCCGATCATCATTCGAGGCTTTCTTAGGTGCAGGATTTGGTCCAGCCACAGTAGGCACGGACCCTGTCCAGGGCCTCCCAGGTCCAGTAGAGAGGTTCGAATAAGGGTGCCATTTTTCTGTAGTCGATTTTTACTTTTTTTGGGGGGACTACTGGGGGACCTAGCCCTGGGTGGCCGTTTTTTTCTGCGCTGCGAGGCGGTCGCTGGGACTTGGCCCTCCAGCTGCTGGCGGAGTTCAGGCGAACGCGGAGACCTGGAACCCATGCCCACCCCCCCACCCTCCTCAGAAACAAAAAACCACCCCTCCCCCCCCCCAGAAAAAAGAGGGGGAAGAAGCGGATTGCCCTAAGAACCTGGGGACCTCAAATAGCCCTGCTTGGGATCCAGAGCCCTCCAATCAAGGGCTCAATGTTGCTTGAGGAAGTCCCAAAGGAAAGGACGTCTCAAAGGAAAGCAACCTAAGGAATGAGGAAACCGACCTGCCGAGCCCTCCCCCGAAGGGAAACCAAGCTACAGCCCAATTTTGAGGGATGAGTTTCTGGCAAAAACAAAAGGAAACCAAGCTTCTCTCGCCTATGTTTAGACACATGTCCTTGCCAGACTTGAATGACCATTCTGCCATTTTGCTCTTTTCGGTTTCCTTCATGTTGCATAGCCAACAAAGAGGTAATTTCTTGAAAGGGGCCCAAGAAAAATGGTTTCCACCCCGTTTTCCCTAAACCAGGAGGACTTTCAGGGCTTGAAATTGGTTACCGGGGGGCTCCTGAAAAGGCAGGTCGGTTTCCCACGTGAATCGTGCCCATCAAAGGCCCCTTGCATTTCGCACCATTCGGGAAATAAATGAGGATCAAGTTCCTGGCTTTCGGAATTCGTCTAGATTTCATTTTTGGCTAGCTTGGACATTCATACCTGCTCTTGTCATGGTGCTGTGTCAGTTCCAGTAAGGAAATGCATGACAATCGACTGTTTGTCGAAGCTGTTCAGATTCCCTAAATGGTTCATTTGAGTTTTGTCCTTGTCAAAACTATGCTTGACACAAATTGGGCTGTGCAAGGAAATCCTTAATCCTTCCAAGAATCCGCAAGGGGTAACAATTAGGAATTGTCAGGCCATGTTGAACAGCCCAGACATAGCAGACATACTCAATCTTCGAGGTGCATGTCGATTGGAGAAAGGTCGTCGGCCCAATGTTCTACGTACAATCCCCATCAGGTATGCTGCTCAACCGTCACAGAATATCCATGTGTCCTGGCAGGTGTTTTTGCGCCATATTTTCCAATCCCACCATTTGCACATGACAGATTGAGCAGCAATTCCTTCAGTTCGGGTTTGCTACCCTGCTGCTGGCCCAGGTTCAGTATGAATTTGTTTCACCATGCGCAAACTGATTGATTGGTTGCATTCATGGCATAGCGGTTGCTTCATGTCCTGGCGTTGCAGTCTTTTGGGACCCGGATTCCTCTGCCTCGCGCAGGCAACAGGGCCAAGAGCCTGCTTCCCGAATGGCAAGGGAGAGCTGAAACAGAGCGCCAGAGCATTCGCCTTGTTTCTTTTGGTAAAAGGAGAATCAGTAGAAAAGAGGTGCAGGATGTCCAATTAGGTTCGGGGATGTGCAAGGAGGAACACAGTATGTCTCAAACTCTTGGCCGCCCCATGGTGCTTCAACCAGTTGAGATATTCCCGAATTGTATCTCCTGCTGGTTCCTGGTGGAGGTGTTGTCGTTATTACGTCTTATGATGATGTAGAGGTCCACTTGAGGCACAATCAACACCAGAGTAGATTAGCGTTGCAAGGACAGTCGCCATAAACAGGTATGGCGACCCTTTGATTCTTCACATGGTTCTGGGTAGACACATTTGAGAGCGATGAGTAGGCCAACACGGGTTGGTGGATCCGTCAATTGCCCGTCAGATCTGTTGGAAACTATTTGATTGTCCATGCACACAAAAGGTGATGGATTTTCGATTTTTCGTGGAGTCAAACTCAACAAGGGGGCCAAGCCGTTTGTCCGGGGAGCACTGCATCCTGGGAGTAGCGGACCAGGCTTGGGTCGACTAGTGAACTAAACTTGCCAAACTCACTAAAGCCTGTATCCTGTTGTTTTGTTGTGGGAAGGCGAAAGGCTGTTGACTTCAATCCTTCCTGCTGTGTTTTCCTTAGCTTGTTGTTTGTTGGTTATGTTTGTTTTTGAGGCTGCAACAAACAAAGTCTTTGTTTGGTTGAGTAGTGGGTGGTGTAAAGGAGAATGGACATAATTTCACGCATTCAGGGTAGTTGTCTCTTTTCTTCACAGCAAATGGTTTTGATTCATTGTCGTGTGTGCCATTCTTTTAAGTTTGATGTGAGGTGTGCTTTTGCAGAATCTTCCACAACACGGGGGTCGTACATGTTTGTACTTCGTCCCTTGATTTTTGTGTTTTGAGGGTTCTCTTTGTTTGGGGGTGGCTTCCCTTTGAACCGTCATTCAGAGGGTATAGTCATGAACAATGAGTCAATGAGTTAGATGGACTCCATTTCCTGGTTGACATCCCCAATTGACTGCTCCACTGATTGTTCCTCGCTTTTTCACTAGTGTCCCTGTACCAACAGAAGACCTTAAGAAGACCAGTAGATCCCAGCTAACCCGACTGTTTTCCTTGTGATGCTTAAAGGATGGGAACCGCCTAGAATGGAACTGCTGTGGATTCTGTGCTGTTGGTTGCATTGAATTTTGAATGCAAGCCGACGGTCCGAGGCTCGACCAGGTGTGCCTGAACAGCGCCGTAAGCGCATGCGGACGATGCAGGCGGGTACCCGGGACATCGCCACAAGGACATACCCGAGAACCAATGACTCTCAATGGGCTACGCAGGGGTGTGGTGGCAATCCAAGCTATGTCCCAAAAATCCTGCTTATATATGTTGTCTGGGTGGGGTATGCTGCATTCGGGGTATGTAACTAGGGCGTCACAAACTCCCATAGTTTGCAGCGGCCAATGATTCTGGCTAAATGATCGCGAGCTGGGGGGGTAAGACGAGCTTAGGACGAAGGTCACTTACTTATTTAGGTGTGGGTCAAAACTCGGGGCCACAAATGGAACCCTGGCAAATGGATTTTAGGACGAAAACCTGCGGTCTCCCGGTGGGTTCATTTTGACCCACAGCCATTTAGCCATTTTAGAGGGGTAAGGTGAACCTTGAGCCAAGTGTCCCTGTTACAGCGGAATTCATTGACGTGCAGGACAGTCAGAGGATCAATACCTTGCAGGACAATTTGTTTGCCTTACCTGCAATGATTGGGGCTTCAACCATTTTGCAAAAAACATGTACCAATATTGACATATGTGATGCATATCATTATTTGCATTGTCCAATGGTTGTACCTTGCACAGGTGGGTCTCTGCGTAATATGGGCGAAACACAGTGCCCAGTAGCATCATGATGATCAAAGAAAGCGTACCCATTCCTTGCATGAGCGATAGGCTGCTTGGCCACAATTATGAACAAGCACGGGTTGAACCACTGATGAGCGAAGATGATTCCGTAGGCTAGCCATGATGGAGAACAGCAATGGGCCGGTCCGCACGGCATGTACAACTGACTGCTGCCCTGATGTGTCTGCTTCATTTCATGAGTCATGGTGTGTGCTGCTTCTATAGCTATATGATCGGCGCCACTTACACGGATCAGGCACGGTATGCGCTTAGGTGTCTCTGTGCAAGTGGCAAAATTGGTTGAATGAATGATACTGTTCTGGGCAACGATATGTCCTACTCTACGACCATGACGGAACAGTCGGCGACTTACACTTGTGACTTTGAATTTGAGGAGTAGTAGCACTCCGTCATGGAGGTGTCTGCACAGTTGTGAGTGTTGACCAGTCAACAGAAATTAATGATCACAGGTGACTTGGTCTCATGGGGCAGCGAGCATTCAGGATTCCCTTCCGCGGAGCTTTGATCTATTCAAGGAGGATTGACTCCCTGAAAAATGAACACGCATAGTGTTTTAATCGTGGGCTGTTTTGGCCTTGCATTTAATTCGTTGTTGTTCATCCCGAACAAAGTCACGCAGAGCTGCCCTCTTTGCCCTCCGCTTACTGGCTATACCAAAATGAGCGGAACAAAATGGTTTCCTTTACAACTTGTGTGGCCACCTGAGCACGCTTTCATTTTTTGTTCACTCAAAAGTGTGTCAATCCATAATTTTTGAGGTCCATCGTTTAGGAACACACTGAGAGCGCCAGAGTCCGGTTGGAGCCTTGTGCAGCCCTATGAGTCCTGATGGGAGTTCCGGCCAAAAATGCATGTGTGGTGTGGTTGTGTTTTGTCGTAATCTGTAATCAGCATTGCGGAATCTGTAATCAGCATTGCGGTCACGCTGCATGCGTTGGGGCAATGGCTATCAAGCGGCAACGATCCGTGGGTCAGATGAGCTACTAGTGAAGATCTGTTAGGGAGCCCATTGAGGCTGGTGAAGCGTTTGTGGATAAATGTGGGGAAGGATTTTACCGGAACAAATGGTGAGGCGATTCTGGCCAGCAGCTGTGAGTAAGGTTGCCTTTTTTCAAACAGACAAGATACCATGTTTCCCTGCTCGCATGCTGTCGCCGATTGGACCGCCCGACTTCACGGTCCAGGGCTAGCAAACCTGCAAACGGGTGGGAGGGCACATGACTGTTCAAAAGCAAGCACAAGAGGCCCTTCACCCACCCACTCATCCACACACACGCACACACAAACACACACTTAGACACTCACTGATTTCAGCAACTGCGGTTGTAGCGCTGCCATGCTGCTATGCAGATCACAGAGCCTGTGCAGCGCTGCAGCCGCATTGGCCATCAAGACACCGCCCAGAGAACGTCAGCTAACAGCATTCAAGCCTCAAAACAAATATGGGCAAAGACATCATTTTGGGCGGCGATAGCAGCAGTACTACCAAGACTCAAACCCAGCGTTACCAGCGGTGTTGCAACACTATGTCCCTTACATAGAAGCGGCTGTTCCCAGTCTCGGCTTGCCACTGCGGGAGTCGGCGCGGGCTCGCGAGCGTCAGCGCGTGAGAGCCTGAGTGTGGCCGGCCTCATGTATGGCAGAGGCGAGGGCGGGCAATGGCCATCGGGAGGCCTTCTATAAATTGAAGTGTGACGTGTTTACAAGTATGTGGCGGACCCAAAGCCTTGCTCGCAAAATTCCTCGTGCAGCCATTTGGCAATCAACCCTCCCATGGTTGGGCAGGAGTGCTTGGCTGTTTTGTGTGTTTTGTGACGCCGTGAATCTGACTCTTGCTTTCCACCCGATCAAAACAGCACTGAGCCTTATTTTGGGACCGGGGAGCAGGGAAATCTGACGTTTGGAGGGCCCGATTCCTGATTTCAATGCATGCCCATGTGCTTGGTTCAACATAGTTTCCAAGCAATGATCAAAACACAAGTATCAAACAATGTAGCCCGACTGGACTGCTGGTTTTGGCTATGATTTTTCTCCAGGAGGCCGACACAGGAACCCCCTTCGGGATTTGACTGAAGCCTGAAGGAACCTGATTCAACGAAATCTTGAACAAATGCCATGGCAATTGCCTGGAGTCTCCATCCCGAAAAACAGATACCCTCCCAGGACTCTTTGGAAGTCTCTCCTCTTGCGCCCAGAAAACACACACCTCTGCGTGTTTCCCAAAATGGTGGATGGATCTCTAGTGGGATTTGCAGAGCGTCCAAAAGAAAGTAACTATTTTTGGCGGCCACTATTTTGACACCCCCCCCATATATGGGGTATTGTCATTTGAAACCCTGGGGCGACTCTCGAATTGGGAGGCATGAGGCAACGATTGTGAGGAGAAGACATGTGTCTTTTTGAACCCCCTTTTCGCTAGGTTCAACCAACAGGAAAGCAACTATGTTGGGTGTAACCTTTCAGATACCCTCCTCATGACCCCTGGTATCAGCTTTTGCTACAGCCAGGCTCTGCCGGGGAGCCTGCCGCAGCTTACGAGGTCTTTGAGCTGGCGGGGCCCTGGTGCTTGGGAGAATTTGTTAATGTTGAAACGCATGTGGAAACATGAACTGTGTTTGCAATGCTTGACCATAATGGCGCATGCCATTTTGGCTCAAGCTTTGCCCTGGGTTCTCTGAACCCAATTTGTGTGAAAAAGATTTGTGTTTGAACACCCCCGAACTAACCCCGATCAAGCAATGGCTTCCTCGGCAACCTCGGCAACCTCCTTCGAGCTGATTGAGGACCAGACGCTCACCGCGGAGGAGGTGGAAATGGCCAGCCAGGAGGCCCAGGAAATTCGCACACGCGAGGCGGCAGTGGCGGCCGGCCTGGTGTTGGACGAGCCCGAGGCCCCCCCATCGGCTTCGGCTACCGACGTGATGAACGACCTCTCCAGTGCACTGGAGCGTCTCCGTGTGGCGTTTGCCACACCGACTTCCGGCTTGGGTGCCCCTGGCCCCGCCGAGGAGGAGGACAAGGACATGGAAGATGCGGACGCCACGGAGCGGGCTACTCCACTGGAAGAGGCACAGACACCACCCACGAAGAGGCTGAAGGGTTTCGTGGCGGCTTCCCAGAAGACCACGGCTCATGTGAACAAACCGGTCTCCCTGGTGCCGGTGGAGGGCCGTCCCGGCTACTTCAAGTTAGTGGACCTCCCAGACCTTTTCCCGGTCCTTCCGGCATCGGCGGCCACGTTGCTGAGGGACGTCACGGTGGAGGAGGCGGTCTCCCTGTTCCACAAGTTTGTCGGGAAGAATCTCACGGAGGACCTGGTGATTCGTATCCTGGAGGCCTATGTTCCGATGAAGATCCAGATCCGGCAGGAGGAGGTCTGGGCCTCACAGTTCCAGAGGAACAAGGCGTGCATTGGCACCCAGCGGATGCACAGACTCGATGCAGGCCACTCAGATTACAAGTTCATGTGCAAAGCATGCGGCACGGGGTGGCCGGAGGCAGCCAAGCAGTGCTGGGTCTGCCCAAAGGAGTTCGTCCCCTTCCAGGCACCCTCGGCTACCTATGAGGCGGACGGCATCACTTACAACCTGCTCATTGTGGAGGGCAAGCCGACCTGGATCCAGCAGAAAGGGGGAAGCCTGGGTGCCGCTGGCCCCGGTGGTACCCGGGCACAGGCGGACCGCAACCTGGTGGACATCCGGCAGGAGATCCTGTCCATGGAGGCGGACGACGAGGCGTTGAAGGTCCGGGAATGCCAGGAGATCAAGGTCAAAGTGCAGCGGTCCCTGAAGGAGGCGGAGGCTCAGAGCTTCCAGCTCTACCACCCCCAGGTGGACCAGGCGATCCGGAAGAAGGAGGAGCTGCATAAGGCCTTGAGGGAGCATCGGGAACCGACCCCGGAGGAGTCCTCGGCCAGGCGGCGGCACAAGGAGTTGGTCACGGAGGAGATGCTGGACAATGAGATGGCTATCCTGGCGCCTCTCCAGGAGGGCATGCAGGCCCTGCCGTCAGAGGAGGTGGCCAATGAGGGAGCCCGTGCCCTCAGGAAGGTCAACCTGGAGCGATTCAAGGCCAAGCTGCGAGACCAGTACCTGGAGGGGAAGGGCGTTGACGCCAGCCAGGCACTGGCTGAGGCGATGGGCTCCATTCAGGAGGCTCAGGAGGCGAACAAGCGCACCCAGGACACCAACCAGGCATGGATGCTTAACCACACTCTCAAGCCCTTGGAAGTGTCGGCGTGGCCAGATGATCTCAAGCAAGCACTAGAGAGGGGGCTATTCTGCCTCCTGGAGCTGGATGACCCCGAGGACATCCCCAACACATCAAGGAGAAGTATGTCCCCTACATCAGGA